ACCACGACGGAAATTGTCAAATTGTCAAGGAATAAAGACGACATTATTCAAATAGAGGTATTCGAAATGACACCATTGTGAATCCTTTAAAAATGGAATCAATTAAGATTTCAACGAAAGTCACTCTAATCACTTTTTTCAAAGTTAAGAATTTTTAAAGTATTAAAAACTATTTATATTCCATATCTTTACTTTTGTCAAAATTATTATTTCTTGAATACAAATATTGTGGAGATTCTAAATTTCTTTTGTCATTTTTGGACCTACTAGCAATCAATAAATTAGTAAAGATTTAAAAATGGGTGGAATTTAAAATGCCACCTTTTTTTCAGAACAAAGATAAAATAAACCTGCCTAAACTGTCATCTAAAACTAAGCTTAGGTTTTAGAAAGATTTAGATTGAACGTGTTGTAAAAAAGCTATACTACAAATCTAGGCACTATAGAACCCCCTTATCTACGCATATTTGGTGTCTCGTATTTACGCAAAAAATGTCTTGTACGCATTATATTTTATGTGAGAGGAAGATTCTAATTATAATGTTTTGATATCCCGTCCTGTCTACCCAGACCTATACTTTTCTGCAATTCTGTAACTTGCAAATAATTTGCATCACCCCCCCCCCCCTCACTAATATTATATTAAATCTTATAATATCCCCCTTACCTTCCCAGTTACTTCTCTCCCATCCAACTTAATTCTTTTTAATTATTTTCATAAATTGAAAAAACTTGTGTAGTTTACATTTTTAGCTATTTCTTATACCAGACTATATTTGATTAAAGTGAAACATTAAAAACATCGAATTTTTTGTGATCATTTGTTTTTGATCCAGACGCTTTATGGACAGAATGCACAAAATCTTTCGTGTCTTTGAATGTTTGAATTTACCGCTAATACGCGAAACAAATAAAAATGTCGCAGCTGCACGATCCGGTCTGATCAATTATTTTTTGTCATATTTTTTTGGTTTTTGTTTTGATTTATTTTTGTTTTTGTTGTTTTTTGTTTTGTTTTTGTTTTTATTTTGTTTTGTTTTTGTTTTGTTTTGTTTTGTTTTGTTTTGTTTAGTTTTGTTTTGTTTTGTTTTTGTTTCTGTTTGTTTTTGTTTGTTTTGTTTTTGTTTTGTTTTGTTTTGTTTTGTTTTGTTTTGTTTTGTTTAGTTTTTTTTTGTTTTTTGTTTTGTTTTGTTTCGTTTAGTTTTTGTTAGTTTTTTTTTGTTTTTGTTTTGTTTTGTTTTTGTTTCGTTTTGTTTTTGTTTTGTTTTGTTTTGTTTTGTTTTTATTTTGTTTAAAAATCAATCTATCAAGCTAAATGGGGTTGCTGTGTTTAATGTTCACTGGAACTAAACTTGAGTCTAAAATTCGTCTTCCTATTCTACAACTCTATGGGATCCACTGTATCAAAAATGATAATTATTAAGCAGAGACTTCTAAAACATTACTATACTTCATAATTATTATTTGTCATGCATTTTTATTTAATCTTTAAAAATCCATTCTAGATTTTTACAAAAAAAAAACATTTGTTCGCATGACCGTGTCCAAATTGTACAAAATCACTGTAATTTGCTGCACTTGCTAATTCGATCCATAGTAATAAATAGTAAATACCATTTTAGTCGTCATTAAAGGGACTGTAAGCTTAATTTCAAGTGACCCTCCATGCAAAATAACAATGCCTGATTTTCAACATTACCCTTGAAAGCTTTGACTGATTACGTTTGATTTAGATCAATATTCAATATAAAGCTCTCAGAACTAAACATTTTAAAGAAACGACGGTATCTTCCACATTTTTTGATCAGGTTGTGTCCGAATTTAATGATTTTAAGCCGCGTCTCAAATCCCCCCAAAACCGGTTTCAATTGAACGCCGGCTTAAATCTTGAAAATTGAATACAATTTTTAGTGGAACCAATCATATTTGAGCCCGGCTTAAATTTAAGCCGGGCTCAAATTCTTTAAATTTGGCCTCAGGTTTCAAGGGTACTGTTGGATTGTGCTTTGTCTGAATGAGAGATACTTGAAAACAGTCTCTTTAAATTAGTTCCACATCCTTCCACATCCTTCCACATCCTTCCACATTCTTCCACATCCTTCCACATCCTTCCACATCCTTCCACATCCTTCCACATCCTTCCACATCTTTCCACATCCTTCTACATCCTTCCACATCACAAACTTCATTTTTTTAGCACAATAACAAATAGGGTGATATAAAGTACAAAATAAATGTTTAAAAAGAGATCTTGTTGCATCTCTTTAAAAACATGCACAGGAAAGAGGGGGGAGAGGGGGATTTAAATGAATCGTATTCTAAAACTGAATCAAATGCATATCAATCACCCGCTCTAATTTTCTAATTCCAATATTTTTGTAACCTCTGAAATTTCCAACTTGAACTTTTTGATCTGATAGAATTTACATAGTTTAAAATTTTGAGATTAGATCTTTTTGTAGAAAATAAGAGTTTGTGGTGAGTAATCATTTCATTTTAATTTTCAAATATATCTTCATATTATTAATTATGTTAATGTTTCTAAAATACATTGTATAAGATCTATGGGTTGTCAAGATGTGTGTTCCTCATAACCTTTTACAAGAGTTTCAATTAAATATTCGTGATAAGGTTTTCATAATTATATAATCAACTTTATTACTCTCAGCCATTAGTTAGGATGCAGGGTGTAAATATATACTTGAAAACCAAATATGATATCATTTAAAATGTGCCTACCTTCCTTGTATCCCCTTGTATCCCCTTGTATCTCCTTGTATCCCCTTATATCCCCTTGTATACCCTTGCATCCCCTTGTATCTCCAATTGTATCCCCTTGTATCCTCTTGTATCCCCTTTTATCTCCTTGTATCCCATTGTATCCCCTTGTATCCCCTTGTATCCCCTTGTATCCCCTTGTATCCCATTGTATCCCCTTGTATCTCCTTGTATTCCCTTGCATCCCCTTGTATCCCCTTGTATCCCCTTGTATCCCCTTGTATCCCCTTGTATCCCCTTGTATCTCCTTGTATCCCCTTGTATCCCCTTGTATCCCCTTGTATCTCCTTGTATCCCCTTGTATCCCCTTGTATCCCTTTGTATCCCCTTGTAACCCCATGTATCTCCTTGAATCCCCTTGTATCCCCTTGTATCCCCTTGTATCTCCTTGTATCCCCTTGTATCCCCTTGTATCCCTTTGTATCCCCTTGTAACCCCATGTATCCCCTTGTATCCCCTTGTATCCCCTTGTATCTCCTTTTATCCCCTTGTATCCCCTTGTACGACCTTTTTTTAAATACGCTAATGAATTTTATGACAATTAATTTAGATTTTTTTTCAGAAAGATAAGGTTATGAATGTTGTCTTAAATTTTTCTTTTTATCGAAACAAATAACTTTAATGTTTACTGACCTCGGATTTTCCGACCAAAAAATGTATTTTCTTTTTAAAAGGTCGTTTACGATCTTTAACGATGGAGCGTCGTTAACGGTCGTTAACGAACGGTCGTTTTTAAACAATCGGTTTTTATTTAAAACGATTGATCGTTTTTTAAAACGACTTTTTTTAAAAAGCAATATTTTTAAAAAACGAAACGGTCGTTTTTCAAAAAAACTGAAAACGATTCATCCTAGGTTTACTGCAAAAAAAAAAAAAAGTATATCCGTATGCAAACTTGTATATACTTAAACTTTTTGTGGAACTGTATAGTTTACATTTAGTAACAATAAAAGTCTAAAATTTGCATATTATATTTTTGCAAATATCTGGAGAATGGGGGAATTAAACATTTTGCGATTCTCAACAATTGTAAATTTTAGAGGATTAAGTTTAAACGCAATTTGGTTCTTTGGGAAAAAAGAGATACAGGGTGTCCCACGAAACATGACAATAGATGAATAGTTTTAAATGTCTTCTTCCATAATTTTTCAAGTGGTTTGAAACCAAACAGAACAATACAAATATTATATAGGAGTCTTATTATATTAAAACTGATTTCAAAGTAAAATATATTTGAGTAAAAGATCTTTTAAAACAAAATCAACTTCAACAAGTCTTTGATATCTAATACAGTATATGGAAGAAGACATTCAGAACTATTGATCATCTGGCATGTTTCGTGGGACACCCTGTACATAAAGTGACTTTCGACGCAATGGAGTTACATGTCTAATTCAAAATGGTACTCTTCAATCATTTGTCTGTGGAAAAATTACAAAAAATATTCTCTTTGAAATTTATAATTTTCCACTCCTGTATCTCAATCTCATATTTTTGCAGTTGGAACAAGGAAGAAAATTAAGTTTCTATTTTCATTATTTTTTTAACTAAAAGAATTTATATACAATTTAAACAATAAATAAATTTCATACAGATATTTTTCTCTGAAACTGCAGTATACTTTTTTAAAACCAAAAATTGTGTTCATGGCGTATTTTCCTTTTATACCAAGAATACTGTAGCTCAACCTAAAAAACAAATTTTGGTACATAAACGCAAATAGAGTATCAAGTACAATAGATGGCAACGTAGAATTTGTACACTCTCAGTAAAGTTGTATTCTTACGTCACAAGTGTCAACTTAGTTTTATGTGTCCGACAAAATTATGAACAATAGTGATAACAAAGTGCTTATCTTACAGTGAAATAAGGGCAATTTTGTGTTCTTTACTTTCTGTTCTTTTTCACTTTTTTATTTAATCTTGGAAAACATGTCAACCAATGTGAGAAAATGTTGTCTTCCTTGTTATATTTGACACTTGTGACGTCATATATAATTGGTCCATTCTCTGTTGCCACCTATTGTAATTGATAATCTATTTGCATATATGCAATGATTTAAAGCGGTATCTTTTAAACCTTAGTAATTTATCAATTTTTAGATAGAATAACAAATGTTTCGAGGTTACCTCTGTGAATTGTGCATGCTCCTTGTTTAAAAAGGGTCCCTTGAAATTGCGTCTACTGAGCTTTAAATATTATCTATAACTATGTATGTTTAGAGTATACTGGAGCTGGGACTGATGCTGGTGGTTATAAACCTGGGTAGAGCTGAGGGTCAGCTCAATATAGATCTATCTACTGCTCAGCTAGACCCAGACACTGGAAACTACTGTGTACTGCAGAAGGTTAGTTTTTAGACAAACAAATCCAGGCATGAAATTAAATTGTATTTCATACAGTGGTAGGCGATCATATTAATACTATGAAGACGACTTTTTATTTAAGTTTTTGGTTGTTAGCAAGATTTGTTCGAAGAAAAAATATCAATACATCTAAGAGAATCTTTTTAACTTGACAACTTCTCTCGAATTCTATGCTTGATATAAATCAAAATTGAAATCGAATGTCGTCTTCATTGTATTGATGTAATCACCTACTACAGTACGTTTTACAAGGGTCAAAAGTTTTGGCAGTGCTTAGTCCTATAGACAAAACTCGAATTGAGTCTCTGCCACAAACTCTAATTTTCTAATCCTCATTTTTTGCATCTTAATATCGTAGACCTTAGATATTTCAAACTTTTCAATATTTCCAAATTTGTTTAGCCTCAAAAGACTTCTGAAGATTTGACATCAAGCCATGAAACAATTTGTAGCCTGAAATATAATACAATTTTTTAAAGTGTTCCTGAAACGCAAATATATAAGTACACACAAAGGAATTGAAATTTTGCCACAAACGGAAATTTTCTAATCTATACATCTTTGCAGCCTGATGGTGTAAACCTTTGATATTTCTAACTTAGATTATTTGATATCACAGAATTCAAAGCTTGACATATCTAAGATGTACGACATTGGGTTGCAAAGATATAGGGATTAGAAAATCTGAATTGTGTAAAAGACTAAATTCCTTTCTATATATAAGAGAAGAGCTTTATCACATTATAGTATGCTGAGTCCATTAGAGCCTTATCCAATCAGGGTTTAGTCATGTGTTTGGTGTCTATTTTGAACCAATAGAAATAGTGTGGCGGTAACATCTATCTTTCTATCTATCTTATTTTCCAATTAGAAATAAATCCTTATATCGGCGCTATGACAGTAAATGGAAATTTTTACTTCTACTGAAACTATAGTGTTATTATACAAATTTGAAATACAAAAGCTTTGACCTTAGTCCATACTGCATTATAAACTTACTATTTAAAATATAATTAAAGTATTTATTTATCTATCAAATATTTAAGGTTTAATATGAAAATATCTTTTAATTCCATGTTTGAAGAAGAGACTTAAACGATTGGTAACACGCTATCGTAATTCTTCATTTTCAAACTTAAGTTACTAATTGTTGTTTTGTACCTAATTTTGGACACACTTTGGTGTGTACCCTGACTACAGTTTTTGGCATGAAACCCTCTATCCTAAAACTGTCTGGACATAATTGAATAATATACGTTAGACAGCCAACATCTAGTGTGAGCTAATGTATTCTGGTAAAAATAATACAAGAATATCTTGTTTCATCTTTGCTCTTCTCTTCAAAGAAAAAAATTAAACAAAATGTATACAAAGTTTTTGACAGAATGGGAATGTTTTTAGCAAAATTAAAAGCTGTAGTCAAAAAAACAATCATTTTTTTTTAACTTGAAATATTTAATATTCTGTGATTTCAATTAAAACCCCAATTACAATTTATTACAATTACAACCTTTATTTATGTCGTGTTTATTTAAAAGTGTTAATTTCCCTTTTTGTTTATTTCGACCGATAAACCACAATTCAAAAGTATCAATTTTTAGAGAGAAAACCATGAATATGTTACTAGGCTCATTTGATATCTTCAAACGTTTGTCTAAAATAGATGAAAAATTCCCATATTATTTTCCCCTATAATATTGTCTGAAGTGTGTTTAATACATATTTCTGATGATAAACTCGAGCTAAGAGTATCCTTCCTTTAGAAAAATAATCGACCTAAGTTCCGGTGTCAGATTACAACAATGCAGTTTATACTTTTAATCATAAACGTATTTTTAAAAAAAATCTGCGAATGGAATATATTTTAAGGTGTATCAGTTTACGTAAAGTTTAACTTCTCTGAAAAGGTTCATAAATTGATTTAAAAGTGTTGCACCTCCTTTGGCCTTTGATTAAACATCACTAATTCTCGTATACTTTTTTGTAGTCCTAATCATGTTCTTCTTATAACTTTAAAGCACATGTTTCTAGCTATAGTTTATAATGTCTGATTTTGCGTGAGAGCTTGCCCCCTTTGGATCATAGTGATGTTTATTGGATTAAAGTCATACATGGTTATACAAGGTTATAATGCAAGGAAAGTTATTTTAGAGGTGTACGCATCTTTGAATGCAGTGTACTGTCTCTGGGCGGTAATGTAAACACAAGACAAATATCGGAGCCTGACATGGGATCCAGAGAGAACTGGTTTCAATATGTACGCAGAGTATACGCTACTGCAATTAACTTTCCTTGCATTAAAACCTTGGTTAGATCTATCGAACACTCTGTGAGAATTGGCTTACAAAGGTTTCCCTTGATTGGTTATGTACTTAAAAAGGATGAGATTTTAATGACGACCTGAAACTCGATCTTTGAGTATGAAGGTTGAATTTGGGTTCTGTCTTTAAGTTGTATTTCAAACTACTAGTTCATAGGTAGATAAATAAAACTAAGTTTATTTCTGTATGATAAAGAGCAAAGAAATAACCGTGCAATTCTCTAAAGTCTCATTTTTTGTGGGTAACCCTGTATGTTGTAGAAAGAATTGACGCACATTAGGATCAGCTGATATCAAAAACTTTAAATTAAGAACATTTTTTGGTGTTTTACGAAAGTTTTTTACAAATTTGTTAAAGATTGCCTGATTGGGTTGGGCTAGCTAAAGGGGGGGAGTTGTGTATTTAATTGTCAGTATTCAACACTGTAAAAGTTGGACTGTAAAATTTCAACAAAAAGCCTTGAAGGTGATAATTGAAAACTTTTTACTCCTGTTGCCTTTAATCATGTAAAAGTCATCTCATCGTACTATATTACACTTTTCAAGATACACTAATGCTATTGATAAACATCTTGCTAATTTGGGAGGTGTAGAGGAGGGGAGGGGGGGTGTTATCCCCCATCCACATTTTAGATTTAATATCTCACCGAAAATCAATCAATGTTTACAAATTGAGGGGAACCCACGATACAATGGTATAATTGTTTGTTTATGATTAAACAGGATGATTCGAATTACATTGGACTCATCTTTTATGAATAAAAATGAAACCTCTGTTGGTTTGCTTGAGCCAGAAAAGGTTTATACATTTTGAACACCGGTTTAAACCACAAAACTCGTTAACTCAGTACACAATCTTATTTGATACTAACTGATGGCGTTGCCCGTGCAATGTTAAAATCGTCAAAAACTCAACAGAAAACGACGTTCTTTTTCCAAACACGTGATCTGAGAGATTTGGTATTTAAAGTATTTATTTATATATACTGTACAGTACTTACTCTAGCTGCCTGAAAGCCGATCCGGTACTTCAGATAAACCGAAGCTTACAGTTTTTATAGACAAATAATTATTCTTATCAAATAAATATTTATCTTTATCTATGGCCGGGGGTCAAAATATAACACTTTTTACTCAAGTTACATTTTTCTACGTGTTACAATATACATATATACATGCTTATCTGTATATTTTCTGACTGGTAAATAAAATTGTTGGTTTAGTAAGGTTGCCTACTCTCGATGCGCTACAATGTACGGGAAATGTCGTCTCCTTAGCATAGATAAATAGAATCAGTATATGACGTGGAGTCAAACTCTATAATCAGTGACGTCATATGCAGATTTTATCTACAGAGCGTCCCCTAGTTGATCCATGATCCCATATGATATTAGATTATCTATGCTAAGAAGACGACATTTCCTGGAGTGTATCGAGAATAGGCAATCTAATTATACAACCTTGGGTAAATAAGATATGATTCTCCCTACCCTAACCACACACTTAATGTTTGTAATAAACATGGTCACTGGAGTACACATAAACAGATAAACAAACAATAATAAAGTCACGACAGCATAATTATTTTATAACTTTAACTAAATTTTACCAAATTTAAATCACCCCCTACCAATCCCCCTTTATACTGAACAGTGGGTTAGAGGGGGGGGGGGATATTTAAATATTTGATATGTTATATTTTTCTGGATAACACTCTCCATTTATAACTCCATTGATCAGGCAGAAAAAATATATTTCGGTTTAAAAAATGTGAAGATTTAAATATCAAATTTCCTCGTGAAAACTGAGTAAAATGAAGAGTCTGATTGATAATTAATTCATAATTAAAGATTAATAATCTTGCCTCGGTATGGCGTCCAACCCATCTGCCAATAAACCCCAAGATTTAATTAAATGTTTAAAGGGAGTGTTCCTCAAATATTTAAAGGCGAATAAACTTGATAATCTTATTGCTCTTAAAGTTTATCGTTAGGATTTGAAACCAAAAAAGTTTTGAAATATTTGAAAACGTTTTTCTTATGACATCACGATAAGTATTTTCTAATTTGAAATTGTAAAAACTCCCATATCTCGGAAAATTTGAAACAGGCCTTAGCAAGTTTTTCATAATACAATTTTTAAAGAAAGAATGGAACGAGAATAAAATTTTCTTATATCCTTTTTACAATTCCAGTACTATACCATACCTCTTTTCAAAATTCTCAAAACTCCCTTTAATTTTATATATACTTTGTTTGAGGTGCGAATGAAATGATAATTACATTTACCGTTTTAAACTGCGTGCAGCAATGCAACTAAATTTAACAGAAAATAAGGAAATATTCAACATTTATTTCTGAAAAAAATTAAACAACATTTTCCTTAGTACATTTGAATTTCTGAGCCGGGTTAACCTTTCCAGTCCCAGTTTGTACAGTATCACCCGGACATTGGGTAAATAAAGCAGACACTCAATAGGACTAGCCAGTGCAACAAGGTTGACGCGGTCAGATTTTAGGTTGAATTTACTTTTTCTGAAGGTTCAGAGGTGCGTGTGTGCGAAGACTATATTAATGAGAAACTTGTTCCTCATTGTTACCTTTACCACATTTTTCAGATATGTAAACAATCTCTTTAAGTTTGACCAAATGGATCATTAATC